TTGTTAGCGAGACGATCACCAAATAACCTTACAGGAAATGTGCTTGCTAGAATAACTATCATATTTGAGATGGCTAGTAATATTTGTCCTTCAATGCAAATCCCACCAGAAACAAAAATTGCAGTTTTTACGACTGTAGCACTCTCTTTTAGTATCAATCTCTTCATTTCTAAATTACGAATCCATAATGTGCATATTACGCTGTAAAAATTTGCTTGCGTCACCCTTTGTAGTCCACGGGTAATATAAAGAAACCGGTTCTCCATCTGCTTTCGATTCCAACTTGGAATAGGTTTATTTCACAATGAGGGGCACTCTGAACTTGTGCAGTATTTTCAGAAGCAGCGAAAAAAATTATAAACAGATATTGTAAATCAAATCAACCCTTGTCGAGTGAGGAGCTCTAGTGGGTTTGGTTAGCTTAACAATTGTCCGGTGATATTTTTATGGGACCTCGAAGGCAGTTGGCACGATAAATTCCTAAAACCGAGTAGGATTAATACGCCTGGCAGGACGGAATTCCGCGACCCTGAGCAGGCGCTGCGTAGCGCCTTTTCCAAGGAAGGTACCCTTATAAGGGCCCTATCAAGCTACAACATACCGACCCGAACGCCCACCACGCCCGCCCGCCCACAAATGGACGACCGTTCCTGATGCTCGTATTGCTTCATTTGCTAAGTAAATTATGAAGCGAAGGGATTGGTATGAAGCGGCTGCGGTGCCGCGTGTGTGCACACATGCAGCCTATCTACCGTAGCAGTTATTGGCAAGATGCCTACGGGAAACTCGTCCGAAATTGCTTCTTAGGTCATTAAGGGAAAAGGCTTTTCAGGTTTTTGACCGTTTCACTTCGCTTTTTCGCCATTTTCCCCACTACATAGCACCCCTACTACCATTTTAGACCGAGTACCAAATTATCGTGCCAACTGCCTTAATCGTGAACGCTGGCCAGAGAGATTGAGGACACTCGTCCAGAAGCATCACGGATAGAAAAGCTGGGATCTTGTTCTATCCTAAACTCCCGGTGTAAATGAGGTGCGAAAAAAAACGAATATCACTGTCACCCCCACCCCTTGCGCTTCCCTACTTACCATAATTTTTTTGGTGGGTGCGGTTGTTTTATATGAATGACATGACCTACACACTGGCTTATGAAGGCCAGCCGATGTAGAGACCGGTTTCGCTGGTATGGCGCCAAGAATTTTCGACCACTGAACTGGAGTGACGCACAGCTCACTTTGTCTGGGTGGACTCCGATTTGGACTCAGAATGCAGCATCGTGATGTGTGAAATGGCGGTGTTATTACCTATGGTGACATCAATCATTCTCCATGCTACATCGATTCATCTTCTGAACTTCCCGATCCTACTTTCCCAATTATCTCAAACAGTTCCAAAATTTCGTAAAAATGAACTGGCGACTGAGGCTGGAGCGAGGGAGGAAAGGAGGAAGTCACTGGATTTAGTCAATAATTCAACTGATATATATTTGTGCCACTTCGCATCGGACGCCATTCCAAATAGAGCCCTTCCTCACAAGATACGACTCCCGGTGCCTGCACTTCTGATTCATTAAATATCCCCGTCTCAAGGAGGCAACGTGAACTAGTGAAATTAAAACACTAACGAAACAAGACACAGTCAATAGATAAGATAATAAGATCGCAGAATGTCAATCGGACCTCAGCAAATGTTTTCGTTGAGAATTTTCAGCACTCCTTCTTTACCGGGACTTTTATGGTTAGTCCCCGGTTAAGAAGGAGTGCTTAGCCTAAACCTACAACGGGACAACTGTGAAGCAGTGGGCCGATGTAGTCTGCCTACGGCATAGGGCGAGTAGGCTGCTGGAAGGGTGAAGCAATCGCTCAAATACAGTTCCAAATGCTTTGGGTGCACTGCACCGGAATACTACATCTTGATGTGGTGGCAACGGGAGTCTGATCTTGAGGAATTCTTTTCCAGACGGTAAGGGTAAACCTATATAAGAAGCTCAAGGAGATTTCATTTCATGATTTTCTTAATTCTCAAGCTATGGTCCAGCAGAAAAAAAAGGCTAAAAGTGACTTGCACTACCGAGCATAAAATGAAGAATTCATCTCAGGACTACAACATGCATTTCGTCTTACTCGCCTGGAACTTTTCGGAGTTGTTTTATGCACACATTTACGGCTCCAAACTGTTTGCACCACTATCGCTCGCCCAGTGTTCAAGGTTAAAGATACATCTGTAGTTGTAACTAAAGAAGTTTTCAGGTCACACATGCAACGCTGTGTGTTGGGTGGAGCCGCGTCGGCGTCGCGTGCATTCCGCGCCTCGGCTAGTATATCGGCTCGGACGTTCCGCTACGATGTCTTCGCTGACAGGCATATCGGTCCAAGCCGACTAGAGAAACAACAGATGCTGGATTTCCTTGGGTTCAATGTAGGCCATTTCTTTAACGGCTCTGCCTTAAATTCCTTGGCCTGTGCTAGCCACTCAGTAAAGCAAGGCAAAGACTGAACCATACTTATGAGTATGCCTCTAGTTTACTTGGAAGCTAACTGATATGTGCGTCCTAGTTTACAAACCCTCCCTATTTGCCGTGGAGTGTATCATTTGGTGCCCTGGGCAATGAGTCCCACGCTGGCTCCCAGCATGGCTTCCGTCTACCGGTGTATTGACCAACAACTGTCGCTCCTTTTGCTTTAAACATTTTGCTCTGTGGATATACCCTAATCTGTGCCAGGGAGCGACAAAACACTTCTTTTTGAAATCTCATTCCATTCTAGGCACGGCTGGTTCGGAGAGAATAGATAGAAGCCACCCACTCCATCCCTTAGTGACTTTTCCCTCGGATCAAAATCCTTTAAAGCTGGGGGAGTCAGTTTTCGGCTACAATTATTTGTTTCATTGGAGTAAAAAGCTCTGCCTAGAATCATCATTACCCGGAACAGGAAAGATTCCTGCAGTTGAGAGACATTCTGCTGTCTTAGTCTGTCCGCTGCTTGGTTTTCACTTCCAAAGCTTGAAGGTCCTTTTGATTCCCCAGTGATACCTTCGGGCGGCTACGCTCACCAGATCGTCCACCCGCTGCCGAAACTTCTTGTTCATTAACTCTGAAAAATTGCGGAGGTTCCAGTTCAACATGTCACTTGCTTATCTGATTTGAACCTTATGAATATTTCAGACGCTGGACAAATTAACCAACACCAATGTGCCGAACCAGATCAAACTTGAGAAGGAATTAGGTACGTTTTTCTTTTCGGAATCTAATATATACCATTTTTGCTATGAGTCGAACACTTTTCAAGCCAAAGCGGACACTTTTCAAGAAATGGGCAGTCGATCAGCTACATAGAAGATCACAGTAGATACTGTGGAAGCCTAGCCCCTCCCCCCCCCACTCCCACGGCGTGCGTGAAGCGCATCCTAAGCGCAAGCATTAGAGAAACTTTAATGTACTATTTTATGCAAGCAAAACGGGCTTAAACTTGACCATATTTTGCGTTGATTTTCGTTTTTCATGTCTAGTTGAGGAACACCACCAAACTATGCGTACTCAACGATGAAACTAGAACAGAGCCGAATGAGATTGTTGAAACGCTTGCCTTTTTGTGGCATTCCCAGAAAGCTCAGCAAAAATGAACTTATTTGTGTGGTCCATGCATGAACCCCTCCTACATCATGCAACCGTTCCCAAAAAGCTCCCTATATCCTGAACGACCTCTTTCGTGAGCAGGCGGGAAGTTGCTGGGTGACTGGGTGACGAGTTCTGAGCTGCTCTCCAGACTGCTAACGACTGCGGAACAACTGAAATCTTGCTGCCATAAAACCTACTTTTATATACTATAGCGCTTGGGCGGGGCTTGTAGATTCAAGCGAGATCACTGCGTTCTGCTGAAGAAAATTTCGGAAGTACGCCCCTCCCCTCCTAATTCCTTCCTCTTAATACGACCCCCTTCCATCCTACCTACCACTTCCTCAGATTTTCCCCACAAGACACATCATTGGTTAAGAATTTGGTAACATCCGTTCGATCCCATCTGCTCCGAATAGCCTACCAAATAAGGACCCTCCCTCTTTATAGCGTCCGCTGAAACAAGGAAAATCCATAACCATTTAAAAAAATTCTCTAAGATTATATACGACCACGACCCCCTCCCCTCAACGATCAGATCCAGATGCGCCCCCCCCCTCGCTGGGGACTCCCCGACGTAGGACGTGCCCTGGTGTAATCGAAACTAACATTTATCAAAATAGCACTACTACTTACAATTCCAGATTTGCCAGAAGCAGTGGACGAGTACAGCATGTTACGCGAACTGAAGAAAATTTCGGAAATGAACAAGGTTAGTAGAATGACTTCCAAGGGTTAAGAAGGCGTTCAGGGTAATGCACATAGGAACGTTCAGGTATACCGTTCTTATATTGGAATGGGCTACTACGACACGATCGTACCAGCCGTCATCCTTCGAAATATCACTCAGAATATCGGATGGTGAGCTTTTTCTGTGGCCTCTTGCAGTTCTCCCTATAGCGTCTTGAACTCTCAAGGCTTCTAAGGAGACGAACAGAATGGTTCCAGTTATAGGAGAGATTTATGTGATAAGGTTAGAAACTATGTACTTCAGAAACGAAAACGAGTAGAGGGTCCAACCGTTCTAGACGCGCGCGGTCGCGTTGCGCCTTTGCTCACTTTTCCTTCGCACTGGTCCCTTGATCGCGCTCTCTAGAATATCCCTTGATCCTTTTGCGAACTACTGATATTATTAATATACTAGTATGTTACTGTCAGTCAGGTATGCTGCAAAAAGTATACTCCACATCTCAGAAATGGCCAGTGTGGCCGCGTACTTGATTTGAACGTGGCAGCGCCTGCGCTTCTGGTGGGGTAATCTCATTTGAAACGACTGTGATCATGCCTCAGTACGGCAGGACAGGACGATAGCTTCCTCGAATGGCAAGTTCCCACGCAAAACTGATCCTGCGATAAGCTCAGATGAATTACGCAGCCACGCCCTATCCATCTCCGGGATATGAATAGCGTGTACACGAATTTATTCCAATGATTAATTGATATAATTAGATGAATAGCCTATTATTTGTTGGTTTTTTTCATAATCTTAATGTCTAATGTATAATGTTTACTCTACACTTTTTTTACAGGATTTCGCAGTACACTCCTTATCAGGCGGAAATCTCACAAGGTCGTCTTGAATCCCTATTGAACTTCCAGACCATGGTAAGTCTTGGCAATCAGATGTTACAGCCAATAACTGGACCGGGCTCGATTGTTAGGATAATTCACAAATACTTACAATCTTTCTAGATTGCGGATCTCACCGGTCTTCCATCGACTAACGCCTCTCTTTTGGATGAATCAACTGCCGTGGCAGAAGCGATTGCTTTGGCGTCGAGAGCCACGAAGAAGAACAAGGTGAGTTTTTTGGTAGGAAATAGAGCCGACGGGCTCTCCTCAAGGGAATGCCGGCGTTTTTAATTCCTTTCTTTCGGAAAGGTGCAGATTAGCAAGCTGAGGTTCGCTAGTTAAGTTCTTCAATTGTTCTCATTGTGTTCAGGTCTTGCTCGATCCATACCTTCACCCACAGAATATCGACGTGGCCAAAACGCGCAGTAGGTTCGTAGGCCTTTTTAAAACTTCACGCATTCATTAATCGGCTTATTTGGCTGCTGACCCGGTCCACTCTGATTCAATGGGCGGAGAAAGGACACCGTTGCGCTCTTTTTATTGGTGCATGCTGCCCTCTGAGCAGAAAGACACAGTAGGTGGCTATCTCTGCCAATACGACCAGCGCTGACTGTGGCTTCAAAATCAATTAGAATGGGCTCTTGGAATCCGTAGAAAATATAAAAATTGAAAGCCCTGATGTTCAGCGCTCTTGGAATCGAGTTGAGCGAGTTGAACTTCGATCAGTGCAATATTAGCAACGATGTGGCAGCTGTAGTCGTACAGTACCCAGACACTGAAGGGAGGATCCGAAGCCTTGAAGGGCTCATCGCCAAGGCTCATCAGCAAGGGGTGGGTGTTTTAGAATTCTGTGTATTTATATCAATGTTGAATTGGCGTTTCATTCTATGCGGTAAGGCAAAAGTCCTGCTCCTCCTACAGAGGCTTCTGATTTCTTTTCGAAAACGTTTCTTGCATTCGCCGTTGAAAAGGCAGATAAATTGCTGAGCAGAGTAGATTCCACTCGTGCTCACGTCTGAGTTTCAAACATTCTCGTTCGCTGCGCATGATGGGCGCGTCGGCTGAGGCTGGATTTATTACGCTACCAGCCCGTTCCACACCAGTTGATGAAGCGGATAAAGCCAAGAACAATTTGGAAGATAAACGACTGTCTATCGAACTAAGTATACAGTCTTGTCTCTTGCCGAAACAAGAAAAGAAATGGGATGGCGTTGCGCAAACTCATCCTCTTAATACGCCCCATCGTCCGCAGCGAAAAAGACTTTGGGTGGCCAAAGGTGTTCTCCAAGTCGTGCGTATGAACGAAAACTTGGACGGAGACCAGTCAAGCGCTGAGCCTTCATCACTGGTGCGCCAGCGGTGCATCAGTGGAAGACAGAATAATTGACTGCTTGCGCCCGTGTCTAGGCACAACAGCAGCTTCTTTCATTCTAAGGAGAGACTGCAATTTCTTTCTTGAAAGTGAGGTGAGAAGGAAACACTGGTGACGTTCGGAGCAAATGTGCACCTTAACACCCGGAGACGAGGTAATATGCGCGTGAGCTCAGCGCGTTCACCCTTTGCTATCCCGCTTTTCGAAATTTATGCTTAAGATTTTATGAGAAAATCAATGTGTTTGTCCAATTCGTCTCCCTGTAAGACTGTGGTAGAATATTGCGGGACTTATATCCACAATTTAGGCACTTGTGGTGCTGGTTTGTGACCTGATGGCGTTGACAATTTTGAAATCTCCTGGCGATCTTGGCGCTGATGTTGCTGTTGGTTCAGCCCAGAGGTGAGCTTTTTGACTGTGAAACTATGGAAATCCGAAAATAAGCGCTAGGAAGACCACCAGGTTCTGGTCTCTTATTTGGTTGAAAACGAGGCTAGAAGAAGAGAAGTTTCATGTGGACTTGAAGACAATCAGCTTGACGGTACTAGCATAGGATTGTTACAGATTTGGTGTTCCGCTCGGATACGGTGGACCTCACGCAGGTTTTATGTCAGTGAAGAAAGACGCGAAAAACACACTCGGAAGGATGATGCCAGGACGGATCATCGGAGTATCCAAGTGAGTAACATAGTTGGCGACTCATGTGATGCTTGTCGCGCTCTGTGTCTTCTGTCTGCCGCGTGCCTTTCATCATATGAGTTGGAAGCGGTTTACGCTCAGCATGTGGGCGGGGTAGGGCTTTGTGCTTTCCTAGCCTGAGGAGTTACTCTTTTCTGAGTCGGTGACGAAGAGGTTGACGTCAGTGAGAGACAGATTATGGTAGGCTTTTATCTGCCTACCCGCCTGGCGTTGAATGTGCCTTCAACTGAATGACTCCAGTGATCAATAGAACCTTTTTCAGAGGAGCGAATGGGGAAACAGCACTTCGACTGGCTCTTCAGACGCGTGAACAGCACATTCGTCGTGACAAGGCTACTAGTAATATATGCACTGCCCAGGTGGGTTCCTTTACTTACCTGGTCTCTAATCGCCTACCCGAAGGAGCTCACTTTTTACTGCAAAAACGGTCGGGCGTTGAGTGGGAGTGCGAATCGGCATTCTCAAAATTCGCATACTCGTCCCCCTCTATTTAAATGCAGTTTGCAGGCTCTTCTCGCCAACATGTCTGCGATGTACGCGGTATATCATGGACCGAAACGACTCAGCGAAATTGCACGAGCTATTCATAAATCGACAGCTTTCCTAGAATCAGGTTGGGTCCATTGTAGCTTTTGTTGTCAATCTCCTATGAAAGATTCCAAGGTATATAGCACAAGAAGAAAAGGTGTTCTTTTTGCTCTCCTTCTTTACTTTCAGCCTAACGTAAGCCCTAGCCTCCTCGTGTTAAGCCTCTCTCGTTGTGATTCTCGTTGGCTTTTGCGCGCTCTGCATTTCCTGAGTAGTCTAAACTTTCAGTGTTTACGGTATCATGCGCTACATCCTTCGTAGGGGTCTCCTACTGTCAACGGGCTTTTCTAAAGCCACGTTGACAGTAGGGAGCTAGAACCACTGACATTCTATTTGATCTGTCAGCTTGCCTCCTTTTTATTAACCGCATTAGAAGGGAGGAATTAATTAACAGAAGCCTACTGGCTCTCTTTCTCACCGGTATATCCGCCCGTACCATTATGAACGTTACTTTTGAGCAGTCCCCATATTTCAATTTTTCCTACTTCTTTTTCTCCTAGCGCTTGCCTCCAAAGAATGTTCAGCCTTAACCTCGCTTCAGTGGGGTCTTTCTCAATGACTTCTTTCCATCTCTCTCTGGGACTCCTCCGTCGCTTGTCTGAAACTTCGAACTCCACCGCTGTCTTTAGCTGGTGATCTTCTATCCTTCTGAAAACGTTCCTGTAGACTGAAGGACGTTTTCACTTCACTTATTCAAATGAGTCGGTCCCTTCGAACAGTCCTTAACAATTTGTTTCTGCAGGATGTCAAGACGTTTTTTTCAGAACTGATCAAAGCTGGTCATGCCATTGCGCACAAAGACTTCTTCGACACGTTGAAAGTTACTGTCAGTGATCTGTCGTCGTTCAGGCAAAGAGCAGAAGAGAAACAGATGAACTTCAGGTTAGAGACCATTTCAGCAAAGAACTTGAAGTTCTCAACATCGAGAGTCAGTGGGCAGAACCTTTTTGCCCCTCACCGCTTCAATGCAGTAAGTGCGCTTGATCGGAGGCAGGACAGCAGCGTTGTTATGAGAAGATTGTTAGACTATACTCCTCTACCGGTTCTTCAGTGGGTGACTGCCTAGAAATCGCACTGGAGATCCTAAGCGCATCCAGTACGCGTTTCAGTGAAAGGCCCGAGAAGATGCAATATATGCCCAACGAAGTTGGACTAATATTGGCGGCTAATTCGCTTCATCACAGTGGCTGCTTCCACTTACGAAGCCGAGCGCTAGGCTGAAGCGATCTCAGCAAGAAAGTCACCATAACGCTGCGTTACATAAATGTTAAAATAATGGGAACTAACCGACTTTGGTCAGTTTGAAAATGCCACCCTTCCCTCGCTCAGTTCCTCTTTACATACCCATTGGATCTTGAGGGTAGCTCATCGGTTCTTCTGAGGTAGCTGTAGTAACATAGAGCCTTGGAATCTTTACATTCTATTCAGATACTTTGCCGATGGTTCTGTTGGTGTTTCGCTGGATGAGACGACGAAGCCGTCTGATCTTGTTGACTTGCTCTATGTCTTCAACGGTGGCACAAAGCTGTCTGAGGTAGGGTTTTATCTCATAGAAGTCTTTTGGAGATTGTGAAAACCCAACATGATTTCTGACGGATTTTGCGTTGATAGGCGTTTTTACGGCATTCTTCTACGGCATATGGCTGCTGAGCTGCGCTTTATTTTGTGTCTGTCTTTTGTAACGAAATTCGTAGATCCTGCCGTAATAGCAATGGGGCATGGGTTTTAGGGAGTTACTGATAGTGAGTGCTATCAGTGGATGGTGGCAGGAAGGGACAACAGCTGGTTGCAAAATAATAATAAGTAACTCATCATCTTGACATCCAATTTTATGTTGTGCTTTCAGAACGAGGTGGCGAACATCGTTGCAGAAAATGCATCTCCTCTTATTGGAAACAGTCAGCATGCTAGGACAAGCTCCTACCTTGAACATCCGATCTTCAACAGTTACCACAGTGAGGCTCAACTCGTGAGGTACGCTTCAGATTAGCCATGAAGTGATTTGCAGTCCAGGTCGGAATTCAGCAAGGGGCGTTTCTAGACGGCTGAACATTCCTCTCTTTCGAGTACGTTTCTGCCTCACTTTCCTTTAGACCCATGTAGGCGTTGCCGCGCTCCCAGTTGAGCCGCTTGTTGCCCTCAAATTTGGACTGCAAGTCCACATTTACGCGTCTGGTGAGTTACGTGGAATAAGAGAATCACTTCAGATACATCAAACGGCTGGAGAATAAGGACGTCTCCCTGGCTCATTCCATGATTCCGCTCGGGTCGTGCACTATGAAATTGAACGCCAGTTCACAACTTATTGTGAGTAACTGTTTCCTTGTATTTTCATCCTTGACGTACGACGTCATCCGGACTGTAAAGAACGGATCTGAAGTTCACTTCATTGAATTTTCTCGTCCTTTTCAGCCTAAATTCGCTTCATTCGGTCTCCTT